CGACTGGTGGCGCCCCCTGGTGGCGCAGAGAGAGACCTAAAAACGCTATGCTTGTCATAGTTTGTCTGTGCAGCATCGTCATTGTCACCATCTACTCGTACATGATGCTGATCGCTAGACAACATATGAGGCGCATCCAGCCGCTGAGTCGAGCCGGCGGTCCGCAGGAAGAAGCTGCAGAGAGTCACGCCTTCTATACCGCTCTCATCAAGCATCTGAAGCTGGCGAAGACGTTCGGCATTGTCGTCGGCGCCTTCCTCGTCTGCTGGACGCCGTTCTCAGTAATGATGGCTTTGAACCTCGCTGGCATCCGACACGAGCGGCTGGATCTACTGCGTGGAGTCGGCTACATGCTGGCATACTGCAACTCCTTCATGAACTTCTTGATATATGCAGGGCAGTGTTGATATATACGAGGCAGTGTTGCCCTCGTGCGGACACTAGAATTCTACGCTGGCGACGCTTACGTATTATGTTCTGAAAGACATTAGCGTTCAGATGAGTATAATTATGTTTGCTTGTGTTTCTATATCATATGGCGATGTCACGTAAAAGCAGACAAAATTTAGTTAGATACAGAGCCGGGTCGATACCTTTACGAGTGTGTTTCCCCTCATATACGTACTTCGTTCCCTCTCCATTTAACTTCATATAGCCTCTCCCGTTCGTTCGGTACCTTCGCCTCCCCTCCTCCCTTACCTTCGCCACTTTCCCATCTCCCTATCCTCGATCAATATGAACTATTTATGTTCCCTCATAATATGGTTTCGCTATTTAACGTTTATATGTTTAAACGCTACTCCTGAAGCTTCGCCTTTGCAATGTTCCGGGAGTCCAGTATATAAAATCCCTAGGTGCTCTATCAACGTAGGACTTATCTTCGTTAGAGTTCGTCACCGCATAAAGACGCCTACCATACAAGTGACATTTATATCGAATGTGCTAAAGGTTTTTGACAAAATAACGGCAGATTGCGTTTTACGCTAGCATTTTGAAGAGTTTTTGATCAAATTCAGTTATTTTCTATACAAACAGTAATAAATATGGACTTATAAAAGGCAAGATTTAAACATTTAAGGTTATGGAATGCACAATGCCAAATACAGACACAGAAATATGTGTGTGTGTGTGTGTGTGTGTGTGTGTGTGTGTGTGTGTGTGTGTGCGCGCACGTGTGTGTGTGTGTGTGTGTGTGTGTGTGTGTGTGTGTGTGTGTGTGTAGTGTGTGTGTGTGTGTGTGTGTGTGTGT